AATTATCAAATCAACCAATGTACAAAAAAAATTACCTCTTACTCTTTAAATTTGCACGTTTTGGCTTAATGGTAGATATTTTTCACTGCTGGAGAGTTTATTTAAGCCAAAACTTGTTTCTCCCGTGGTGCTGGATCTCAAGCCTAAAGTATTTCCGGCTAAGAATTGGTTTAAAATTTAAAAACATTGCACATTAATTATCATCAATGACAAATATAAAATGTTCTAATATTGGAACAAAGATTTCTTTTACTAATATTCTATAAAATTTAAAATTAATGATAATATAACCACTCAAATACTGAAAAAATTTTGCACTAACCTGAACTTAAGGATTTCAAACCGCCTGTCATAACGGTGTGTGTAGTTGGAGTTGCTGGTACTTTCGGCAATACACCTCGTAATGGATCACTTGATGATGGAACAAATTGTTGTTGCTCTTGATTTTTTTGTGAAGAGGATGTATTCTGAGATTTTTGTTGATTTTTTGAGCCGTATTGAGGATTAGCCCATTCGTCCAAGGAGATTGATCGTTTACTTTGGCCATAATCAGGCACCTGTTTATTGCATATAAAAATTAAACCATATGTATATTTCACATAAATTTATAAATAATAACACTGACTTTTGTTTGCATTTTAGTTGCTGATGTTCTGGTATACCCTTTATAAAGTTTTGAATTTCCTACAAATGTTTCATGGGCATGTCGATCAGACACTTGTTGTTTGGACCTCTTACCACCGGTTGTAGAATTCACATTAGCATTCATCGTTGTACTTTTTATTTTTATGGAGTCATTGAGCGTTTTATTCAATTGTCTTTGGGCTAATTGTTGCCTCACATTTTCTTTGTCAGCAGTGGGCAATAACTCGGAATAATCCTGACGACCAGCAGATTCTTTCCTCCTAAAAAAGCAAAATTTTTATCACTAGCAAAAATAGTTATGAATTATATATTTGAAAGTAATTGGAAAACTCAAAATAAGTTAATTATCTATTTTTATTTACCTCAGATGTCTATTTGGTTTTGGAGTATTAGGCCTACGGTTAGTTCTGCGAATTACTTCGTCTCTTTGAACTGCTTGCGTTTTTTTACTAATTTCAATAAACGAAATAAATAACCAAATTGCACAAATTATTGAAATTGTTGATTAAAGTATATTACATACCTCAACAATGGAACATCCTTATTAGCACTGAATTTTTTCGAACGAAAGTGTGTAGGAGTTTTTGTTTTATTTCTATTAGGTCTTATTGCTTCTTCAGGAATAGGGTACTTTATCGATCTATAAAATAAAAATAAAATCATTTCTACAATTTTTTCGTATTTTATTTATAATAAAATATACCTATTAACAACATCATGCGGATCAAAAGGCAAATGTCCCAACTGTGGGTTAGACCTTTGTTTTTTGGAAAGCGATTTTAATCGACCAGAATCTCTAAGCAATTTATTTCTGGAGTCAAAACGGGAATTTGGTCCAGGCTGTATAACTGAAAGAAAATTAAATAATTATATTAAAGGTTTATGAACTGTTTATTATTTATTCAAATCTTCATACCACCACCTCCGATATGTTGATGTCCTTTCTTTGGTTTTGTGAATGTCGATATGGGTGCGACGACTGGGTTGTCTAGATTTCCTTTGATTTAAATAATTAATTCAATATATTTTTAATGCATTAGTTGAAAATATGATGACTATCAGAAACAAAAAACTAAATAATTTTGGTATAGTCTTTCAATTTACCACATTTGTTTCCGTTTCTGATTGTCATAAATAAGAGATAACCTATTTTGAGAACAAAGCAATTTCTACCTAGAATCCCTTTTCCATGAGATCTATATTTAGTAACTGGTTTAGGAATATATTCAGCTTCAAGATTTTTGCCCATAAGTCTGACTGGATCATGATGCCTTTGTATTTGGCGCAATTCTTGCATCCTTGCTCCAGCAGTCTGTTGTTTAACTTTAGGTTCACTTTGTTGTTTAACTTTAAAAACAAAGAAAAGCATGCATTCACTAGGAAACAGTGTACTTTCAAGTTTTTATTTATTATTGTTTATTTATTAGATACTCTTTTCTAATGAAAACCTGTATTATTTATCCAATATGTCTTTCGCACAATACCTTGTTCTTTTGGTGGTTGATTGTGAGTTCCAAATGCACCCATCCGGTTAGCAATTGTGCCATTAGATTGCAAGCTTTGGTAGAATTGAGAGGTGCATAATGACCACTGCTCATACCAGCAGTTCCATATCCTTGGCCACCACTGCTAACCGCTGTATTTCCAGAAGGCGCGTTGAAATGGCTCATGGTATTTCTTTGCACATCTGTAATAAAATAATAAATCACTTATTGTTAGTGACATATTACTTTGCTTCTAAATATATTAAATTTTATTTCTAATTATATCATATTTAAATATAAGTAGTATTTATTAAAGTTTCATTGCCTGATCGTCTTTCCGCGATGTATGCTGCGGTTTTTCTATGGATTTTCTTAAACTTTCCTGCCAAGTCAGTAGTCACCGAGTGGGAACTTTTCCCTTTTTCTATTTTTCTCAAACTGGATTTAGACTCAGGTCTTTGTTTCGCCGATTTTGTAGTTAGTCTACAAATTTGTCAAAGATGGATAATTTTACTTAAAATCCAGCAATCACATCCAACGAAAAATTACAAATAAAAATACAACCTTTTAACTCTGTTTTTGGTGCTAAACTCTCTAATTCCTTTCAGATGTCTGTTATTCAAATCTTCTCCTAAATTCTTGAATATTCCTTGAGTTTTTAAAACGTTTGAGCCACTATTTACCCCAACTGCTTCTTGACCAACTTCTGTTGATGCATGTCTGGCAGATTGGCTTCCCATAAAATTTGCTCCAAGAGCAGGTGGCAATTGTGATCCTTGTTCGTTGCATTTTCCTATTTTCTATAAGCAAATAGTATATTTAATAAATTCTGTTAGAGTTGACTATTTTGTCACAAATACAATAATCTCACTGTTCTGTAATTTAGAGTATCCGAAAAATTATTTCTTATAACGTCACGGATGATCTTGCCTCGTGGCCAGCCCACGCGTCCGGCCATATCTCATGGTAAGATCCGCAGATCTGTATACCTGGTTAAATAAAATATGGATTTTATAGATTGATTAAATTTTTATTAATATTTTACTTATATTTTTTATCTTCTGCCCAGAATTTCGGATTGAGTCCTGGCATTGTCTATATAATACTAAATTTTTTATAAATTTTTGTTCTATGTTAGCTATGTCTATCAAAAATTAGCTTCTAAACCAAGCGTTTTATCAATGAACTTTTGTATATATTACATCCAATGAATTATTTGATATTTTATCTTAAACCTTATATTACATGTATATTAAATCTAAAAAATACTCACCTTTTATTAGTTAGCCTAAATTCTATAACAAGAATTTATTCCTGGTCCCACAAACATTTATGACCTGGCATATGTCATTAGAAATGCACTTAAAATTTGTAAAATTAACTGGTTTTTAAACTGTTTTTATATAATATTACACAATAGACATGGTTGCGTTTTTTGAAATAACGTTCTGACTTTTTTTTGTCGTTGTTAAATTATCAAAATTTATAATTAAGAAACAAAACAACGGATTTTTTATGGAAAATACAATCGGTCTGTTGTCATTTTTTTGCCAAAAATTTTTTGACGTCGCGGAATCTAATATGATTTTGATTTTGTTTTGTTTATTAACTATAATTAAAAAATAAAAAGTAGGGTTTAGTAATATAATTATTTAGATTAAGTTAACTTTATTAATAATTTATATTAAATGAGCACTAATAAATTTAAATAATTGTTCCGATCCTAAACAATATTAGAATTTAATGAATTCATGGTTCCGGTCATAGATAAAAGAAGTTCCGGTAGACATCTTAAACGTGCATGACAATTTCAAAACATGGATACCATTTCATTTGCTTGCAATTTATCCATAATTTCTTTAAAAGTCAATGATTCTGATATGCGATCTGATAAATTGGCTATTGAAATGTCAAATGTAATACAAACAATATTTCTAGATAAGTAAAATATGAATAAAGAACATGGAAAATACGTGTAGTATTGCAAAATGGATTTTCAGCATTGCAATATAATTGTACTATTAATTTTCCTGAGCATTTTCATACATGATTCTTTCAGCGGTCGTGAGTATATTGACACGAACTATTTGATGGTTATGTTAAATGATATTTTCAATTCTTATTTTTGTGTTTAAACAGTAAACAATTTGCATATGCATGATGGAGCCTCCATCCATGACGTAACAAACGGCGATATATTTTTTGAAATAGTAGAACCACGGGAATTGGAGTACACTTATAGGTTAAGACCGGCGAAAGACTTCGGGGCTCCTTTTGTAGGTTTCAAAATCTAATTATTAATATTAAATATCTGTTAATATACCTATAATAAATTCCTTTGTAAAAATTATCTCTGCATTAGCAACTCGTTAGTGTCCATGTACGGTATACTCAGCTTCTTTCTCATAGAAGCATTAAGATAATTTGCAGTAAACTTGATATGCACATGCATATCATAAATACTTTGAATTTTGAATTAAAGTGCTTATGTTCTATTGTTTCAGAATTCGTCAATTTCTCTATTGAAATCTCATTTGATTCCCGTGGAACCCCCTTATGCTTGTGAAGTTTTAACAAATCAAGAGCTATTTGGAAAAGTAGCATTAATAGAAAGAGGGTATGTAATTATGAGAAATAGTTTATAATTATAAGCTAACAGTAATTAAAAATTAATTCTAGAGAGTGTTCTTTTGTTGAAAAAGCACTAAATGCTGAAAAAGCAGGTGCTGTGGCAATAATAATAACTGATACAAAATCAGTTGATACTGACTTATTGCTGGACAGAGAATTTTATATTGAAATGGTTGATGATAACACAAACCGAAATGTAAACATTCCTGCTGGATTTCTGATAGGGCAAAGCGGTAGAATGATAAGAAAAGTTTTGAGAAGACTTAACTTAGATTATGCCATAATTAATTTACCAGTAAATGTAACTTATAGGACTGTGAACAGTTTAAAAGAACCTCCATGGATTGGATTTTGAAATATATAAATACTATAGCTGTTTATGGTAATTATTTATATATTGTCATTTTTTTACATTTATGTATTATACTAATTCTATGAATGCATGGTATTTATCTATTGATTGATTTAATAATAATTAAACTTAAATATTTAAAAAATATTAGAACAAAAATATTTTCTTTGTTGTGCAAATAAAAAAAGGCTGATGTATAATGTTGATGCACTCATAATTTTAAAAGTTTATGTGCCTAAATTTATTAGTTTTAAATGTTACATAGTTACCATCACTGATTATAAAATTTGTAATTAGTCATTATTAATAAAATTCTAATAGCATTGCCACAAATTATTATTTTAATACTGTTTAATAAATACTACAACAAAAATTGTTCTATAACCAACGATTGTTAATATATACGTTTATAGGTTTGGATTGTTAGGTATTCAATTAATTAAAACTACTAAATTGCTCTATTTCATACTACATTAAACAGGTGGCCTGTATTTTATAATAAAATCATTTATAATGGTTTGCAATTTTTCTGGTTCATTTAAATGCACATGATGAGTTCCTTCAACATAATGATGTTCAAACAAAAGATTTTGCTTCAAAACCTCAAGGACTTCATAATAGTATTTTTTATCCTCATAATATGGAGAATTGATTGCTTTTACAGCCATATAAGGCATATTTATATTTTTGGCTAAAGCAATTATAATTTCTTGATTCAGACCTGCAAATATCATCGATGCCAATCTTTTATCACGAGTAAAATAAAATTTCTCTGGATCAGAACTTGATGGAGCTATAGATCTTTCTAATAAGTGGTGGCAGAATTCCTTATCAACTGATTTATTTGTACCTGAGAAAATTAATATGCAAATATTGAATATTATAACATAGAATATATTATAAACATTATACATTATATACTAATATATAAAGCAAACCTTTATGCCATCGTTCAATCATTTCCTCAATAGTGTAACATGGGGGTTCACTGTCCTTAAGATTATATTTGTCAAATTTCACAAAATCTTGAATTTTTTTCTGGAACATTTGTGCAAATTTCTCTGGTGGAAATATGTGCGGTTTTAACGCATCGAGGCCAATGGCCATGTCAACTAGCAAAAGATTTATATATAAGAAACATACCTTCTAATATAATATTTCAATCTTGATAAAAATTTAACAATTTCATATTGAATTGAGTATAATTATTTATATTAAACACAATTACTATATGATAAAACTATGAAATTGTTGGGTATTATTATATTAAATTATATTTCAACTAACCTTTTTCAGGAAACATACAACAATACAAGAAAATAGTAACTGAACCCATGGAATGACCCAGCAATGACATTTTATCCCATCCAAAGTGCTGTTGAATCCTGTATAAAACAACAGGCAATTCAAATGTAGAGTACATCAAGCCATCAGGAATTCTAGATGACAATCCATGTCCTGGAAAATCTATTGATAATAAGCTGACATGCTTTGGCAGCAATGGGGCCAATGTATTGAAAGTATTGCAGTTATCCTGCCAGCCATGTACGGCCAAAATAGGACGTGTTTCAAGATGTGGATTCCATAATTTTCCTGCTATGTGACCCCAGGGCATCGGTATAGAAACATCTTTTACCTATAAAATATATAGAAAAAAATCACAGACACAGGAAAGAATAAATAAATGATTACAAATATATGTATGTATATTTTGTTGAGATTAGTTCAAAACCAGGATAAACACTTGCTGGTTTCCTTTGCAGCAATCATCATACACTCGTGGTAATTATCAGATTAACTAATAGTATTAGTTGTTTTTACTTAAAATTAAAATGGTTCAGTATTATTCTTTATGATTTTGAAAAAATTCTAACCTTCAATTATCTTTGGTTAAAATTTCCAAGTCCAACTTTGGCACACTGGTAATTTTATTAATATGAATTAGTACGAACCTCCGCTTGCTCCTTTACTAATTTTGCACTTCGAAAGTTCTTTTAACTGCATATGTAACATTTTTTAAATCGCCAAATAACCTTGTGCAAGATTTTGACATTTTACCAAGTTTGCAAATTTTTATTGATTTCTTATTTATTAAATTTTATCAAAAAGTGCTTTTTAAAATTTCTTTAATTCAGAAATGAGTTGTGACATTTGGTAGTTTTTTATCTTAAGAATGCATTATATTTCGCTTGAAAATGGCTATAAAAACGTCATAATCACGTAATAGCTTTTGTCTTTGTCGCACGTTTAAGCACGTGTATATATTCGTCACGGTGAATCGTACTTTTGGACTGTATCTCTAGGTCGAATTTTTTACATTGAACTTGTTTAACATTCTGATAAAATTAATTGCCATCCATAAATGCTAATTCACGCTGACTAATTCATGACTTAAATGTTTTCGATTTCACTATAATTTAAGAATTATATCAGTGTGCTGATTTCTTTTTCACCGCCAAAATTTAAAATTATTCACACTACGGTTCACGGTTTGTTATATGTATTATTATAAATCCTTGTTTATAATAATACATATAAAAATTTATCAAAATTAGGAAAAAAAACTTTTTCCAATATGTCAGCCAATTTTCGTTATTAGAATTCAACTTCCGGAACGCGTTCCTGATCAAAAAGGAAGTACCGGAACATTCCTGCTCGACAACGCCATTACCCAGTAAACACGCGATGTGATCTTCTATAATATCGACATCGTTATTATAATGCGGTTATCGAATCTACGCCACAAGAGGATTTTAAACTTGCGTGCGCTTGTGTGTGTTACAATACACGCAAAGCTCGCATTGAGTTGTCTCGCGAGACATAAACACGCGCTGTCGGGGGTAATGACATCGTTGAATTTCATGTGAGATACATGTCGTGCGCTGGTGTGTGTTAGCACACATGCAAAGCATAATCAATGACGTCACACGGCGTGAAGCAAACGCGTCGTGCGCTGCGTTGTGTGCTGGTGTGTGTGACCATACAAAGAAAGCTTTACATCAGCGCGCCGTGGCCACTGGTGGAACCGACTGTTTCTTTGACGAAAGCTAACCTAACCGCGACAACCGCGTACAAAATGGCGCAAAATGTCACGAATTTATCATGCATCAAGTTATATTTTCTTTAGTATAATAATTACATTCGTTTAGTTAAGCAACTTGTTTATGATAATTGTAGAAAAGTGTAGAAAAATGACACCGTAAGTATATCATATATTATTTATATAGATATGTAATTACTTCACGATTTTGAATTCCATTTAGTGCATTATATCCTGGGATGAAGAAACGTTATTTTATGTCGATTTCTTTAGATGACAAAGGAGGTAACCAAATAGCATATCTTACAAAATCTGAGGACAATAATAAGGATCGTTTAGCAAGGTTAAAATAATTATTTTACTAAATTAAGACATTAACATATCCATGTGTTCGACATAACCTCACTTCTTAAATCTCTTAAATTAGTCGGTTGAGAAGCGGATCGAGAATGATTGTTTGAATATGTAAGTCACTACAAATATAATAGCTATACAAATATATATAAACAGCAAACACGTATGCCATGTTCATATTTTTTTCAGAAGTCGTACAAAATTGGAATGAAACGATGAACAATATACAGATCTTTAGACAGGCTCAAATAATGTATGTTTAGGAGCAAATTGAAGATAATGGAGATTTATCTTCTTAATATGTAAGTTGATTCATATATAGTTGCTGTATATATATTATTTGGTAACAAATACATTATATTTATAATTGTTTTAGAAAACCTCTAAAATTGGGAACAGTATGTCATATATGCATGAACTTGATTGATGTATTGATGTATAATGAACTGAAGATAGAATGAATTCAATCAGGTTAAAAAAAATGTATGTGCAAAAGCGACTCGAAGACGATTTAGATTTGTCTCCTGAATATGTAAGTTGCTACACATATGGAGTGGTATATATATTATTAGATTCAATAAAACACATTATGTTTCAAATTGTTTTAGAAAACTTCCAAGAAGTACAACATATATGAATATCCTGTATCCTCGCATTTGAACTGGCGATAGAATGAAATCAGTCAGTGTTAAAAATGTATGTGTAAAAGCGACTTTAAGATGATGGAGATTTGTACACTGAACATGTAGGTAGCTACACATATGGTAGCTGTATATATATATATTATATTATATACAGTAAATCACATTATGTTTGAATTTGTTTTAGAAAACTTCCAAAATTTGGGGCAGTATGTCATATGTGCATAATCTGTATCCTGGCATTTGATGCAATGAACTGGCAATAGAATGAAATAATGAAAAATAGGCAGGCTGTTTGATGTATAAGGAAGTGGCGATAGAATACTTATGCAACACTTCACACTTCACGCCCCAAAAATAGAATTACGTTCATTAGATATACAACAATTTTCATTAAATATACTGTTATTAATATGTTAAGATTGAATAATTTGTAAATAGTTTTCTAGTATAGTTCATGTTAAAATTTTATAATTTCTAAACTACAATTCTAATTTGTAATATTTAAATATTGTAAAATTTCTTATTATTCACGTAAATAAATGCTTATTCGTACAGAAAAGAATATTAATTGCATTACGTCATCACTTTCAGGTGCTATTACGTCATAACTGAGTCGCCATTTTGTATGACGTCATGACCGAATCGTTTTCATTCGCCAATGACGTCATGACTGGGGTTAACGCCTTACGTCAGACGGTCTTATCATAATAAACAAACATATGTGGGTCAACGTCGATTTTCATGTATCACGAACGCCGCGTGCGCCAGAGACCGAACCTCGATAGTTGTTCGATAGTTACATAAATTTGCGGCCGTATCCATTAAATATCGACGAAAATGAATATGGGTACCGCATGTCACACGACCTAAATAAAATATTGCCACGATGTTGTGACCATATCGCATGTTTACTGGGTACTGTTTACATTTTTTTAATACCATGAAGTTGTTTCAAAATTCCTCTACTTATTATTTTATAAACTGCATAGTAGGTATCTATAAATTTTATTTTTATTTATCAAACATTTGTGTTTCTGAAACTCAACAATAAATACAAGATTTTCCTTTCATTTTTTTACTTAATTAATAATATTTTGAAAACCTTATGTAATCTTTCCACTTCCATTCACACACTACAGATGTAATAAATTATATAATATTAATTACCATGTCTTCTTAGAAGCATGAAATTTTTATTTTGATAATCATAATGTTTTATGATTGTTTTAAATTAATACTAACATTTTAATTGCAAATCTAATAACTATATAATGATTCATGAGTATTATCTCCTATTCAATTCATGTATTTTCTTTATCTGTCTTATCTATTCATGTATTATGAGTCAATTTATAATAATGTCGCATATGGTTGCAATCGGTCTTGTCTTGCATTTACCATTTGTTTTAAAAATATTTCTTCTTGGCTTCATGTTCATCTCTACATTTTTCATTGTTGCATTTACATTTGATAAACATTAAACAGGTGGCCTGTACTTTGTAATAAAACCATTTATAATATCTTTCAACTTTTCTGGTTCATTTAAATGCACATGATGAGTTCCTTCAACATAATGATGTTCAAACAAATGATTTTTCTTCAAAACATCAAGGACTTCATAATAGTATTTTTTATCCTCAAAATATGGAGAATTAGTTGCTTTCACAGCCAAAAAAGGCAAATTAATATTTCTAGCTAAAGAGATAATACTTTCTTGATTGATTCCTCCAACTATCATCGATGGCAACCGTTTATCACCAGTAAAATAAAACTTTTTTGGATCAGAATGTGATGGAGCTACACATCTTTGCAATAAGTGGTGACAGAGTTCTTTATTAACTGATTTAAATGTAGCTGAAAAAATTCAAATTTAAATATTTCAAATATATTATATCATAATTTTATATATAATATAAACTATAAAGCAAACCTTTATGCCATTGTTCAATCATTTCCTCTATTGTGTAACTCGGTGGTTCACGTTTATTAATATTATATTTATCAAGTTTTACAAAATCTTCAATTTTTTTCTGGAACATTTCTGCAAATTTCTCTGGTGGTGTTATATACGGTTTTAGTGCATCAAGTCCAATAGCCATGTCAACTATCAATAGATTTATGTATAAAAAACATAATTTTCCCGCTTGTATTATTTGGATATTGATAAAATGTAATCAGTTTTATATCTTATTGCATATATTTTGCCCTCCATCACTTAATATAATTACAATGTGATAGTACAATATTTGTGGAGCATATTAAACTATATATATATATGTATATAGTATACTTAATTCAAGTTGAAATATGATTTATGATATGGGTTTACTCGACAATTTTACTTGAAATTTTCAACTAACCCTTTTCAGGAAACGTACAACAGTACATAAAAACAATGATTGAACCCATGGAATGTCCCAGCAATGAAATTTTGTCCCATCCAAAGTGTTGTTGAATTCTGTACAAAACAACAGGCAATTCAAATGTGGAATACATTAAGCCATCAGGAATTCTAGACGATAATCCATGGCCTGGAAAATCGATGGATAGTAAACTGACATGCTTTGGCAACAATGGGGCCAATGTATTAAAAGTGTTGCAGTTATCTAACCAGCCATGCACAGCCAAAATAGGTCGCGTTTCAAGATGTGGGTTCCATAATTTTCCTGATATGTGGCCCCAGGGCATTGGTATAGAAACATCTTTTACCTATAAATTATATAGAATTAAATCAGTCATAGGAAAATATAAACAAATTATTAAAGATATATAATGTATATATCTTAAAAGCTAATTTATATTGTTCCCATAATAATGGTAATTTTATTAATGCGAATTTGAACAAACCTCTTGCTTCGTTATTGATTTTTCACTTCGAAAACTTCTTTTAACTGCATGTGTAACATTTCTTAAATTGTGGAATAATCTTGTGCAAGATTTTGACATTTTAACTCGTTGTTAATTAAAATTATATCCAAATGTACTAAAGTTATTGTGTAATTTGTACTTTTTTACGTCGAAAGTAAAAAATAATCATGTAAAAACCTAAGTCTTCACCGCACGCTCAAGCACGTGTTTTAAAGTTCTTTTATATAGTCTTGATACACCGTAATTTTGGCCCGCATCTCTAGGTCGAATTTTAATAATACTGATAGAATTAATTGTTGTTTTTAATTACTATTCATGATGAATAATTTATAAGATTGTTATCTATCTAATATAATAATCCATATTATGAATTTGGCGAATCTTTATGATAATTATTTATTTATGTAACTTAAATTGTATCATTGGAATTATTATAATTTTTCGTTAAAGGAAATAATATATATTTTATTAGAAAATAAAAATTGAAATGATACAATACATATAGATATATATATATATATATATATATATATATATATATATATATATATATATATATATTGACATGCTCTAATAATCGCGCATAACAAAAATAAAAAACATGATTTTTTAAAAATTATTTATTAAAGACGTACATTCTAAGCGCGCGGCCCATTATTCCAAACTTTGATTAATATTTTACTATGTTAGACTAAATCTCATCTTCATCGTTTTAAAAAAAATATTTTTCAACAATAAAACACGAAGACAGCCAATCTTTACTAAAAAACTATCATGATTTGATTAAAATATTAAATTTAATTGACAATTTTTTGTGAGAATGTTGACGAAACAGTTTTTTTAGCAATTGTAAAGATACGGCTCAGCTGATCGTCTCGCGATACTAATCTACCCTAGTCTTTATTGAATTTCATCAAATAGTTTTTAAATTTTTTAAATCAATGTGGTTTTTGAGAAGACGTCGGCTATAGGTCAGATTAGTCTAGCGAGTCAGAATGACTTGAAACGTATGAATTTATTAACAGAAAATAATAAAATATTTATTAACAATTTTTTTCAATACTACTTATTATTTCAAAATTTCTCTACTTATTCTATTTTTACAAATTTCATAGGTACTATAAATCATTTTCAATCTTCTATCTAATGCTTCTAAATGTGGTTTTGTAACAATCATGTTTAATGGTTCATTTGCAATTAATGTGTTAATAGTCCGACTCATAGATCCTCCTGCAAACAATAACAAATGTTCCCACGTTTTGCTCCTTATCCTTTAATAAAATATTTAATGTTAGTGCATGATCAAACCAATTATCTGCAAAATTGAATAGATATTACTCACATGCAGCATTGATAAAATGGAGCTAATATATCAATATGATCCACATAGGGATTTCCAAGCCCTTTACCATTATCTAATAAAATCGTACGATCTTCAAAAGTTTCATAATGATGCCTGTCACCATTTTGCAACAAAAAATCTACTATTGCCATATCTACTAAATCTAATAATCTTGTCTGTGATACTTCATTTTTTACACTCCTAAAATTAATTTAAATAAATATTTAATAACCAAATTCTTTCATCTTTATTTTATATTTATTAGCATACTCGCAATAAGTTTGATCAATTTCCCATCTTGCATGAATTGTATCTTTATAAGTTCTCTGCCACGGAGATCTTTTTAGCAATAAGCCTCCCCTATGTTCTAAATTTAAATATTGTATCATCACTCCATCTACACCTCCAGAATCATCTTCACAAACTGGTTCTTTTATAGTGCAGTATCGGCACTTACCATAAAAACAATATTGCCCTTCATCTACAAAGCAATATTTAATAAAATTTTGTTAAAACTAGTAATTGTTATTAATTACTAACCATTATAAAACATAGTTTTTTTTAATTTGCCAATTTGTGTAGAACTTAATTCTTTTCGTGTAAGTTTTCTACTGATAGCTATGGGTGCAGAATTCAATCCCAACATTGCTGCTAGATAAAATGCTAGTATTTCTGCATTATCCCGATCTTTTCCAGCATATACTGGGCCTTCGATAATAGAATTCCTCTCATACCATCGAGGTTTAAAAATAGCTTTTATGTTTCCCTAAAGATTGAATAAATGATAATTAATAAATAATATAATACTACACTATAATAATACGAAAAACAATATATTACCTCTAATGTAAGCAATAGTTTTAATTGAGTCCCTTTAGACGATACATCACTAGAGATTATTTTAGACGTAGAGAGGAAATGCAGTAAGGATCCCACAATAGTATTATTTTCAGGATACAGTTTGTTGCCTTTTGGCCACTGAAATTTAATTAAAGCATATGTTTATTTTTATAACAATTTTTATAAGTTATATATACTTACATCTTGGAATGCCTCCGATAAAGATAACTTATTATAAAATTGATTAGGTTTGAAATAACTTACTAATTGCTGTGTGATTTTATAGCTATTGTAATTATATTGAGTATATTGGTTTCCTAAATGTTGTGCTTTCTTTACAATTTCATTAATGAATCTTGTTGTAGGCTTATATTCAATATGTAAATCTTTGGCATCATTAAATAATATATGCATAAAATACAAATTTGATAAAAGGAAAAAAATTATAATAAAAAATATAGGTATAATATAAATCTTTCGGAAAATCATATTTAACTTTATATGAACAATTATTAATAATAAGAATCATACTATTTTAAAGTCATGATTAAACACTGCACATATTATTTTAATAATAAATATAGGTTTATGGTAGGGATAACTCATATTTTATTTATGATAGTTTGATAAATATTTAAATATAAATTTAAATTTATATTAACAAATTAAAACTGTTTATTTGTTGACATTTTGTCAACTATGGTGGTCCTCCCTGAACTGACAGTTGGTAGTTGAAGTTGGTAGCAGTTGACAGTTGACAGTTGAACTACCCACAACAAATAAACTAAAAACGAAACTTGCATTACAAACAAAAGTTATATTCTTAAATATTTGTATGATTCATGTTTAACATTGTAATTTAAAATATTATTCTGATTCATCTGATGTACTTGCAATCATTCGTTATTTTATTCACGTTAAATAATAGTGTTCTTGTTTAATGAATCTCTGCGAATTTAAAACATCATTAATTTGAAATTGGTTTTAGTGATTAATATACTATTTTATTCTATCATGTCTTCTGCAAATGCCTACAAAAACAAACGACAATTAGAAGAAGCATTGGCACGTAAAAGAGATTTAGAATTTCGAAAAGCAGAAGAATGTAAAGCTAGAGTAAAGTACGTATAAGATTGAATTAAATTGAATATTCAGTAAGCTTTAATAATGTCATTTCTTCTTTTAGATATTATAGTAATTTTGATAGGGCTAATATGCACTTCCAAACTTGGACTGCACCAGAGTATTACAAGCAATGTGCAGAAAGTTTACAGAAGTCTAAGATCGAAAAAGAAAAAGAAAGAAAATTATCTGAACGTAGAGAAAGACTCCAAAAGATGTTAGAGACTGAACGGCATGCATTAAATGAAGAACTCAGAATTCTAGAACAAGGGCATACAAATCGAAGGAGGGATAAAAAGGTAGTAACTTACAATTTATTGATCATCACAATTGGTGACATTGATATCATAGATTTATAATTCCAGTTTGTAATAACTTATATTAAGAGGTTTTGTTATTACTATGATATATTAGGTTTCAGATGATGTTGTTTGTGAAATTTACAAACAACTCAAAATTGATTCTGAAGAAAGACGAAGAAAAGAACTTGAAGACAATTTATATCAGCAGTGGAGAAAAAACGAAGGTTGCAAACTTCTTAATGCTCCTGAGTTTAATGAACATCATGCATTAGCAAAAATGAGTTGGATGGATAAACAGGTTTGATATATGAGATTAGTTAAAAGAAAATCTCAAATTACAATGAAAATGTTAGATTTTTCCTTAATAAGTTATTTTATATTAGCAAATTATTTACAGGTGATGAAACAATTAGATAAAGAAAAGAAAATAAAAAATCAAATTATCACCAACCAAACCGAAGTAGAACAAATAAAATCTGATTTAAATATATTATGGGGTCAACAGAAAGATATGAAAAGTGATTACGATAAATTAAAACAACAAATTGAACAAAATTTAGTAGAATATCAAGAAATAGAGAAAAAATATAATTTGACAAAAGGCTGTGAGAAAAATATGAAGCAAAGTCTAAATGATATTGAGAATATTCATGCAGATTATTTTAGAACACATGAAAATGAAATTCAAAATCGAGATCAAATAAAGAATAATGTCAAATTTCATAAATTACAACTCAAACAGTATAATGAACAAGTAATAAATTATTTGGAATATAAAATAAAACTAATCAAACAGTTGAAACATATTGAATGTAAGTATCAGCATGGCATACCATTATTTTTCATAATGACTCAACGAATTATTCTTTAGCGCATAACCATAAAATCAAAAATTTATTATCATCTACTTTAACTGTTTTGCTGAAACAGTACAAAGTAGAATCTCAGAGAAAACAGCATATATGTATGATGTACGATTCTGAAGCTCGCCGTGTTTGGGATGGATTTGTAGAAAAATGGCAAAATGAAGAAAAAAATCAGTATGAAGTGATTGCTGAAGTATGATCAACAATTATTAAAATATTGCTTTCAATACAATTCTGTTATATTTTTTTCTTTGCAGATCTTAAACATAATGAAAACTGATGCTGATGAAAAATATAAAGCAAATATAACTGCCCAAAATGAATGCATATCTGAGAAAGAAAAACTTTTGAAAAAACTGGAAGATATAAATTGCAAAAAATCATATTTGGAAAAGGATATTGAATCTAATAAAAATCAAATCGACATGTTGACTTCTAACAAATTAGACAAGGAAACAAAATGTAACCTACTTACTGATTATTTAAATGGGTCTGATAAAATAGATGTTTCAAAACGTGATGAAAAAAGGCTACTCTCTCCAGTCTCTTCTTGCACGGTTTCAAGCCATGTTTCAAGTCATTATTCAAATAAATACCGTGACTCTGTACGAGATATCATTTATACTACATTTACTCCTCAATCAGCTTTTAACTGTGATGCAACAACTTGGAAAAGGTAATTGTTTTTGATATATTTTATTCTATTAGCACAGACAAAATAATGATAATTACATTTTTTAGAGACAAAAGCAATTCTCAATGTCATAAAGTTCAATCAAAATAATAAAAATCAAAGCAAAAACTGGAGAAAAATCCATCAAGAAATATTATCTCTTTTTAATATTTCATGTAAATATATTTTTGAAAGTAGGAAAATCTTTCATGCAATCTCTACACTTCCATTCACACAGTACAAATATAAAATATAATATAAATTAACATATATATCATTAATATAAAATATCTAATTTCAAAAGCATAAAAAATATTTATTCTAATAAAAGATTTGATAAAGTTTAATAAATATTTATTTTAATAATGTGCAGATTTATTATTACAAATATTTTTATAACAAAACTAATTATTTTTATTTCATTTAGTTTGTCTTTTTATACATGAATAAACGGAATGCCAATATATTTATAATAATGCTGCATATGATTGCAACTGATTATGTCTTGCATCTCCCATTTGTTTTAAAAAAAATTCTACTTGGCTTGATTTCACGTGGCAGTTTTCAGTTAAATTGTGAATCTGTTTCATTTTTACATTTTTAATTGTTGCAAAGCATCTTTGATAATAGAAAATACTTGATACAAAATTCCAAAATCTAAATTCGGGCCATAAGACATCAGTGAAATAAACACAAGAAGGTGCTATTTGCCAAAGTAAAAAATCACTAAACCTTAGTTCACCTGAAGTGCGAATTAATAAATCAGGATCTGAACTTTGATTGGTATATAATGTTTCTGATATTAATTCTTCATTTATACAATCTGGTGTTATAATATTATTCTCAGCAGCCTTAACTATATTTTGTATTGCGCTTGTTATTTCTTCTTGTGATGTGTAAGCAAATGCAACATTTAAGAATGCTTTGTTGTTATCTTTAGTTATTAACATAGATCTTGCTATCAACTGTTTCAAATCATCAGGAAGCAAACTCAAGTTTCCAATTACTCTTATATGTATTCCTTTTTCCCTCAGCATTTCCTCTTCACTTATCAGTTTATGGAATTTTTCTCGAGCAAGATTCATTAAAGTATCTACCTCATCTTTGCTTCTTTTAAAGTTTTCTATACTAAATGCATAAACAGTAACTTCTGTTACACCTAATTCTAAACACCATTGTAATGTTTCTGATAATTTATCAAATCCTTTTGAATGCCCAAAAGATCTTTGTGTATGATTCTTTGTTGCAAATCTTCTGTTGCCATCCATAATAAATGCAATATGTTTTGGTATTGGACCACATTTTATAACTTTAATGCAAAAAAGTTGCAACCAGGATAATGTATTATCACGTATCCAAGACATTTTATGTTATTCTAGCAAATAAATTAAAAACAGAACGGTTTTCGGTACCAAGAATTATTGATATTTTTAATTAAATGATTTGCGTAAGTTTCGGGCTGTTAGTTTTATGATAAATAACGTATCACATGGTCTTGGTGCTTATGTGATTCGTACACATAGCTAATGAATCTTTTAGTGCAATTAATGCAAAAATTGCGTAATGGTTTAACGAAATTATCTCGTTAGGTATTTATGCCATTTATACAATTTTTGCTATTCAGTTTGTCTATCGACTAAAATCTTTTACAACGCTTTAAGTTTTTTTTAAATCATAATCCACGTTGATACTTAGCATCACCTTTGTCACCTATCATCGTACATTTGACAGTTTGACAGTTGTTTAGGCAACCAGAGGCACCACCTTTTTAAAATGAGAGTGGTAAGTTATGGGTAAGTTTAAGATCACCCTTTTAATTTTTTAGTTTTATCCATGTTTTATCTAATCAAATCACAAGATCAAATGCAGATGTTTTTTGCTTGATTAAATTTAATTTGTTAAATAAGTTGGGGAAGTTCAACACGTTCAACACATAGATAAAAGAAGAGTATATAGATCGCTCTGGTTCAACATTTGAGTGCAACGTTTGAGTTCGTATCTATGTAAGTTGACAAGTGGTGCTATGGTTCATCAATTCCCAACATGTGATTTTTGTTAGGTTATGTATAGGATTGTAATATTTTGGTGATATTTGCTGAAGTTGAAAGTTTCTGAAATATTTAATTATAATAATCTTCTAAGCCTCTATCATAATGGGTAAATTTAGATCTAAGCTTAAAGGACAAACGAAAGGGAAAAAATGGGCTAAAGGACAATCATCTAGTTCCAACCCTACAACTCAAAAATTCAGAAACTTGGCGAAATCGAATTTTTTCCAAGAAAATTTAGGTAAAATAAATACGTCTTCTTTAATTATTACAAATTATTATACTTTAAGCCTAACTGTACTTGGTTTCAATATAACGTTGGCTTCAATTTATTCACAGGGTCAAGTTCTGGGTTAACAATAAATGCTTTACACAAGCATGATGCTATGCATAGTTATGCTATTCAACCAGCTGGTGTGGGAGATTTGGCAGAAAGTCTTCATAGTGTTAAAATTGATGATGAAAATGCATCTCAGATTACCGCAGAAACTGCGACACAATCATGTGGCACTTTCAGAACTTTTCAAACATTTGCTTCTGACTGGAGTGAATGCACAAATGTTTCTTTTTCAAAGTTTGTATAATTTCACTTTGACTTAATCTTTATTTTTTGTCATGAATAAAATTATACCTAAAAATGAAAAATATCTATCAAATTTTCAGGCTTTTAAATGGGTTCAGATCTGACTCTGCGTTGCATAAAGAAATGTTAGCAATACTTGCTGCTATAACAGAATTACTCAAAGACAAAGATGGAAAACAAACATCTACTGAATATTACTTGGCATTGGTATGTTTTACAATTCTTTGTTAGTTTTTGAAGTACTTATTTTATATTACAATTATTTCATGCAGATGGAAATTCTCAATCAAGATCAGGAAGAGAATGGTTCTCATGCTGTGCTTTCTTTACTTTCAATGGGAATTAAGACTGTTCCTGAGTCAGTTATTAAACTTAAATTCTCAGAATTTTCAAAGATATTTATGGACCAGTTGGAAAAGTTTTGTAACACAGATAATCAAAATCTTCTCAGATGTGTAAGTTTGTTTATAAGTATTTATTGCATTCACTTTCAACATTGTTCTGGTTATTTATTATAGCTATTGGGATGCATTTCGGTTCAACTAAGAGCATTAGATCTGGCACAATGGTCAAATTCATCAACTTTGCAAATGTTTGATGCAGTCATGGCATTTTCTATACATTCTAAACCTAAGGTAATAAAATTTGCAACTATTCATACATTTTCACACATACATATATATATATATATATATATATATATATATATATTATATAATATATTAACAACAAATATTTTCAGCTTCGTAAGGCTGCTCAACATGCAGTTTGTGCTATAATTCGAGGAAGTAGTTTTATGTTAAAAGAAGATGGTCCTAAACTACATCCTGCTGCTGGAAAGGTTTCAAAGTATGTTATAATCTGTACATTTATGTTAAAAATTAATTCCTTTTATCTTATCCACCAAACATTTTAAGTATTGTTATTACTTATATTACACCCTCACATTTACAGGTTTTGTAAGATGCAGATGAAACCAGAACTTGAAGTTTCTTCTCAAACAACCACACTTCATATTTTAACATTATTAAAAGATGTTTTGTACATGTTTCCTAGGGATGATATAAAGGTAAATTTAATAACAATACAATTTACAATAATGATGTATGAAAAATAATTGATCAAGTAATTGTTATTTTAGTCTACATGCGAACGAATACTATCTATGATGACCGGCAACAATATTTTAGTACGTACCTGTTGCTTGCAGACCTTACACTCTTTATTCCTCATGTCATCTGATAATAATAAAATTAAAAATATGACTGATGATGACATTTTGGAATTGAATAAAAAAAAATCATTCAGCACAAATTTAACATACACATTGGCAGCACAATTAATAAAAGCTTTGTATGACTATAGACCTGACAAAAATGATGTTAGACAAACGATGGCCTGGGTTACTGTAATGCAGCAAGGGCATATTTGTCTATCTTGGTAAATATTACTTATGTAAAAAACTTTTATTTATATATTAGATTATATTACAATTTTATTTCAGAAATTGTTTATAGTTAATGAATTAAATAGTATCAATATATTATAATGAATTATTGTCATAAATATTTATTTTGATTTGAATATTTTACAGTTTAGATTTGGATTCAAGCATTAATATTATACCTCAATTTATTACAACATGCACAACTGATTTGTGGCTATCAGACCAAGTTGATATTGCAAATGCTGGTACAATTGCTTTACGAGAAGTTCTTTATGAATCAATAGCTCCAATATGCAATTCACTTCTTGGTGTCCAAAAGCATAAAGCTATTTTGGAGAAAATTTTTCAAACTATATCAAAAGCATTGACTGTACCTTTTGGACATGCAGCTGATAACGTTGTGAATATTTTGGCGGCATGCTTTGATGTAAGTAAATATTATGTGTAAAAATATAATATAAATATAATGTGTAAAAGTAATCTTATGATTTATACATTTTAGGTGTCCGGTAGAAATTGTGCAGAACTGCTTGCTGATCCATTGAAAATATTGGGTGAACGTAGAGACCCCTCATCACAAACGATATCAAAATCTCAACTTGGGCAAATTGATCATGCAATTGCCACTGCTGTTAAGACTATGGGACCAGAATTTGTATTAAAATGCATTCCCATTACTGGTGCATCTGGTGAAATTGATATAAATAGAACTTGGTAAGATTATAATTCTTTTTTCAGATCATATAGGTAAAGAGAAATTGATATTTATATTAAAAATTATATTTAGGGTTTTGCCAATTCTGAGGGACAAGATACGTGGTTCAACATTGGAATTTTTTGGCAGTCATATTTTACGTTTGGCATCTGCTTGTAAACGTGCATCTGAACAATTTTTACAAGAAGGAAAGAAAAATGATTCTGTTACTTATGATTTACTGTGTTCACAATTATGGGGTTTATTTCCTGGATTTTGTAATTCTCCTACTGATATTAAAGAAAGTTTCAAAAAAATTGCAAAAGTATTAGGAGATACATTAGCACAACATTCTGAGCTCAGAACCCCTGTAATGCAGGGTTTGAGAAAGCTCATAAATAGTGCAGAAGGAGATGAAATAAATGAATTAGCACGATTTTCTAAAAATTATTTACCCTTACTGTTGAATATATATACTACACCAGCTGCAGGAGGATATGGACAAGGACAACGATTATCTGCTTTGGAAACAATACAGGTATATTATGAATTAATACTAATTTGCTTTAATGAATTACAAAATTTCTCAAGACATTAATTTGATAATAAACTTTCAGATTTACTTAACCATTACTCCAGCAGATAAGTCTGAAGAGATTTTCAAAAACTTAATGACTAAAATTAATGAGGTTGAAAATGAATCAGACTTTGCTTTAAAAGAAGCATTATTTGATATTGCTCGAGCTATGTCAATTTATCAATCAGAAGAAATAATAAAAGAATTATTCTCTAAATTATTACCATTGTGTGAGTCTTCTGCTGATAAAGGAAAAAAAGTCAAAAATAATCTACAAAAGAAAGGTTTCAAAATTATTGAAGATATTTTGAAGAGTGATAAACAAGGGTGCAAAGAATTTGTCAAAAATAATAGAAAACAGATACAGTCTGTGGTTATGAAATCACTTAATACTTCTGCAGATAACTCCCGAGCATCCCGGTTAAGGTTTGTTTAGAAATATAAATTTTGATATGCTAATTTATACCAGATCTAATATTTTATTTATCAAACAAAATTCAAAGACTTTATAAAAAATTAATCAACTTAATTTAATAAAATATTTTAACAAATGCTTTCCACAGATCTTTAGAATTATTAGTGAAGTCTCAGCCTCTATTAGATTGTGAGAGCAAGTTGGTCAAATCATGTATAGCGGAAGCAGTACTTAGCACAAAAGATATAAATGCTAAATGTAGAAAATGTGCACAGTCTCTTCTGGTCACTGTAGGAGAAACTATAGAATCCAAAAAGAATAAAAGTGGATTGTCTGATTATATCAATATTATGATCGCTGGTTTAGCTGGAACACAACAAATGATTGCAGCCACATTACAAGCACTGGCTTGTGTAACATTTCACTTTTCAGGTGCGATTCTATTATTACATTCTATTTATTGTTCTTTTTGGAGTGAATATAAAAATTCTACTATTCTTAATAATTTTTCAGGTTCTTTGGGAAAAGAGACTTTAGACTTCTTATTAACACAAGTTTGTACATTGCTAGCATCACCTACAAGAGAAATCACTATTGCTGCTGTGAATTTTATAATTGTTTTTACTAAAGCATTGCCTTCTCCTCAAGTGGCTTTATATTTGGAACAAATTGTAAGTGATATATGCTCTCTTGTAAAAGTTAATCAGTTAATAAAATATCCATTTCATTTTCACATAATTAATAGCAACAATTTGTAATTACAACTACACAATGATATAATTTAAATATGTTATAACAGTAATCTACAATAAAATAAATCTAAAGCAGATAGCATACAAAATACTATTTATACATACATAAGAATTACTTAATTTTCAATATCTTGTTTTCTTAGATGAAAGCTATAAGTTCCATGACAGATGATTGCAAAAGACATGCTCGTTTAGAAATTGGAAAATTATTAACCAGGATGTGTAGGAAGTACTCTGCTGAAACTTTAACAAAACTTACGCCTGGCGATGATGTTGGTAAGATTCAAGTATTTTTACTCACATATTGTTTTTAAGATAAATTATCATCTAATCTTTTATATTAGTTACACACAAAAGACTTAGAAATTTACGCAAGCTTCAATCTCGTGCAAAACGTTTGAAAGACATGAAGAAAAATCAATCTGTTGAAGAAGATGATGAACTAATGGATGTCAGACCTTCTGCCAAGAGGTGGGTATTATTCATATATTGGATAAAAAAATTGTTTATATATAATATAAATAATAATTTCCTTGTTTAGCATTGAAGAAATTTTAGCAGATTCTGATTCAGATGATCTATGTGATAATGATCAGCCAAAAACTACAGTTCGAAAACCAAAAAAAAATAAAGGAAAAACTCTTATACGTGAAACAGAGGACAGTATAATTGATTTAGTGGATGCCAGCGCTTCAAGCAAAATATTATGTTGGTGTTATTAACTTCCTTAATATTTTTTTATTCATTTGCTTAATTGACAAGAATAACTTTTGTTTTGTAGCATCTAAACCTGAGGTATCAAAATTACATAATAAATCAAAGAATGAGCCAAACCGCGGATTTAAAACTGCTGATGATGGAAGATTGCTTATTGATGATCTTGAAGGTAGTGATAGTGCGGATGACGAAAATCCTAAAAGCAAAAGTAGAGTTGCTTTAAATATGGACTCTGATAGTGATAGCGGTGAGTTTTAAACTAAACTTTTAAGTTTTGTTGTGAATAAATAACATTATAGATAAGTAAAGATTGAATAGTTTAATAGAAATTTCTTCCAAGACTATACTAGAAGATTTGAAATTATACTAAAATTAAACTATAAAATCAAGCACAGTTAAATACTTTACAGATGATACATATGAAAAACCTACTTTGGGAAAACGTAAAAGATCAGATGTCCAAAGCCTAAAATCTAATTTTAGTGGCACATCCAGAGAGCCAAAAGCTAAGTATAAGGCTGGAGGTCACGGTATTCACAGGTTAGTATTTATTTTACCATTTGCTATTAAAAAATATACAGAAATTTACGGTATTTTAATTTGTATTGATTATTATTTTACTTTTCAGTTTTTACTTATAAAATTTTAATTTTTCCAGGTCACTTTCTGGTGCATCAGTGAAGTCTGGGGCTTCAGGATTCTCATATAATTCTGCTGCTAACTCATCAAAATCCAATGCTAAGTTTGGATCTGAATATAGATCTGCAAAAGCTGCTGGTGATGTCAAAAAGAAGGGTCGACCGGACCCTTATGCTTATTTACCTTTGATGAGGAGCACCTTGAATAAAAGGTTTGTGCAATATTGAATAAAAAAAAAAAATTTTTCCATATTAATAGTCAATGAGATCGATTATTTATTTTAGAAAACGAGCCAAAAATGCTGGACAATTTAGGGGCATTGTTAAATCTGCCAGAAAAGGAGCAGCAATTGGTTCAAAATTGAGAAAATCAAAGAAATTGTAAGTTGTTTTCTTTGTAAAATTTGTATAAACATAGGAATAAGAACAATGTATGTGACCGTGATCATTAATCTTTAGATTATTTATTATATAATAAAAAAATTTTATTTGAAGCTTATTACTGTTTTGCCTTTGCTCTCTAGCATCACTTCATTTGTTAAATATTATTAATTTCAATACTATTAAAAACTGTAAAATTATTTAAACATGTTTCTTTAAAATAATTTTATTAGTTGATCAGAATTTAAAGTTTAGCTTAAAAGTTATAATTACAATAATTAATTTGTAATAATATTTGAATCGCAATTATTTTTAAAGTTGCTCTATTCAAGTATTTATTTTGTTAATTAATTTTTCATCATTGGTGTTATTAAACAAGGTTTTCAATTTATTCTCAAATCAAAGAAGTGTAGATTATATCTGTGGTACAATTTAAAAAAAAATGGCTCTTCAGATATGCAGATAAAATCATCTGATATACTTACCTTTTTAAACATTCTAGTTGCGCTTCTGTAAAAAAAATGTTCGTCTGAAGATTTTGAAAGACATTTTACATTCATTATGATCACATATAAAGTTGAAACTTGTAATTAATTTTCATTATTCATCATTAATAATAAATAATTGGAATTACAAATTATATTTTTTTTAACTTTCTTTACAACTTAATTGCTATGAAATGAAATCAAAATTGTAGTCAAGTACCTTTAATACTCTCAAAATTAAGTGCAAAAGTTAAAAAATTTACAAATAAACTACATTAACTCTGTTTAATTCAAAAATTTTAAATTAAAATGGTATTTAATATTACTGAAATATAATAGAAATTACATTACCATTTAATTTAAAAAAAAATACTGCTGTAACAGAATCTATATGCAATGATGAACGTTTTTTTTACTGATACTTAAATTTATTCTGTTACAATGCAATGATAGTGTCTTGTGCATAAATGCAGTTTTCTTAACTTTTCAATATAATTCTTTATGGCATGAGCATAATGGTCTTACACAGATATTAACAAACTTCCAAGAAATGCCAGCCAAAAATAAATTCACAAGTGTGTTTGTTACTAAGGTTACAAATGTTTGATCTCTATCATAGATAATTTATACTAACATTCGAGAAGAATTGTATTGGAGAGCATGCTTTCAAAGCAAACTTATTAGTAAATATTGTGTATTTTACAAACATTTATTTTTTATGACAAATACATCGAATTTTACACCATCATAATTATCAGTAAATAACATGCATTGTTCTTGTTGAGAACGGTACATATAAATAATTACATAGAAATATATTTCAGTAGTGTATCATTTATTATACAGATAAAAGATGAAGCTAACTTACATCAAGATGCACTAAAAAGATAAAAATCCAGAGCACTCGGCTTGTTTACTTTCTCTGACATTAGAATACTAGAACTAAACGGTGTTAAAATTTTTATAAAAGAATGTCCAAAGAACATTTAAAAAATAGTGAATAATTTAATAAGGACAATTTCTCATTTATATTTAATTTACTTTAATATTAAGTATAATCACTGCCACTGCATTAGGCCCATAGCCTTACAGATAAGAAGAGTCTCTGATTGGCAAAGGTGCCCAGATGTTAAACTGTTCATTTTGATGTCATCATGGTAACAAATTCTTCATAATTTACTTGACCATCTCCATCAATGTCCGCTTCCCGGATCATTTCATCTACTTCCTCATCTGTTAGCTTCTCTCCCAAATTGGTCATCACATGACGCAATTCAGCAGCAGAAATAAAACCATTGCCATCTTTATCGAATACCCTGAAAGCCTCTCGGATTTCTTCCTCGCTATCGGTGTCTTTCATTTTGCGGGCCATCATTGTAAGGAACTCAGGAAAATCAATTGTACCGTTGCCATCAGCATCAACTTCATTGATCATATCTTGTAATTCTGCCTCCGTTGGGTTTTGGCCTAGTGATCTCATAACAGTTCCCAATTCCTTTGTGGTTATGGTGCCATCTCCATCCTTGTCGAAGAGGGAGAAGGCTTCTTTGAATTCAGCAATTTGCTCTTCAGTTAATTGATCAGCCATTGCAGTAAGTTTTAACTAACCCTGATAACCTTTACACTGAACTAGTCTGCGCAACTGAAAAAAAAAACAGTTCAATATAATAAGTTGACATATGTAATACTACAAGAGAAAGAATCTAGAAATCAGAATCAATAATATATTGATAGAAAAAAATTCTGTATAAATATCCCTTTGTATAACAAATTATTATATGAAAAAATAATATTACATAAACAAAATGTTAGATTTTGAGCTCAAGAAATGCTTTGCAGTTGTGCCTATCTTTTTTATATACAGTTATTTAATTTTGCAACAATGATTTTGTTAAAAACCGGAAATGTCATTTTACGATCGTATTTATCAAAAATGACAACGTGATACTACAGTCTGCCATTGAACAAGAACAAAATGTCTATTGCAAGAACAGAAATAGGTGCGGTGGCAAATAACGGTACATCAAATATTCAATATTTAACTTGAAATTAATTTCTCGCGCCATGATCAGTTGAAACAAATTAGTCATAATTCTAGTAAAGCGAACACTCCCTAATGCGGCAATCGTCCATTACGCTAAAAACCATAACCTAAAAGAATTGCGTTCACAAGAAGAAAAGTGAAGAGGCTTTCGGGATTTAAACACAAACACAGGTTTCTTTTATCAATCATTGTTAACTTACATATATAAATATGTATGTAAGCTATAACACGTTATCTATTACAAAGCTTTATAATTAACACATCACGTAGGACGATTTATGAAATAGCTATTCTACTTACGAGCAGATGCGAAAACGTATTCCAAGACGAACAGGATTACTTTCCAGTAGTTTCTGATTATTTCAATGTAATTCACAAACACTGATGATGCTCGGTAAACCAGCTTAGTACTTGTGAAATTATCGCAACAAAAATACCGTTTGACGACGAACCCAAGCCA